ATTTTATATTATTTCGTAATATAAAAAAATAACACGCGATAAAATATAAATTATTTTCAATTTTATGATTCACAACCCTGCTGTCATAATTATCTACACGTACATGGTGTAATACTTGGAAACAAAAAAATTCTATGAACCTTAGAAAATAATTACACAAAATTATTTGTCGATTACAAAAATAATTATCTTGATCTAATATTACATCGATAGATATAATCATCTATCGAATATTATTACAAAGTATATACGAATTAATTGAATCACTTTTGTGCTTGTAAAATCGATATCTGTTAATATAATTACTTGGATAAAGATAGAATGATCGATTAACTCTGTCATGATTTACGTTTTCTTTCCTTCCCCCTCTCCCTCCCTCCCTCCCATCTAGTCCTCCTTTGATCGTCGACGAAGGAAATTCTTAGACGTTAAACGAATGATAAATGTCTCTGACAATCAAAGCGTACTATTTCCTTCGTAATTATACAACCTTCCTTCCTTCCTTCCTATTATTTAACGAATCATTCAAACAAATAGAAGATAATTAATAGCAATGTCATACGATATTATACAATAGAAAACACCTCGTTAATTTTGATTTGTTAATTGCCAATTCGTATTACTGTTTCAAAGTGCAAAACGTTTCTTCGAAGATAAAGATACAAGAATATTATACTTTAGAAATAGGTGTTGGAGAGGGGAGGGGAGGGGGTGAGTTGTAAGAGTGAAAGAAAAAAAAAGAGTATAATAACAGTTGTAATATTAAAGAAACGCGTTTTGTAGGCGTATGTTTGTTTGTTGTTCAACCAACTAAGAGAAAACGGTGAAAGGGGTTATGGGGGTGTTGAGGGAGTTGACAGGGGAATGGTTTGGGTTAAGAGGAAAGAGGAAAGGGAAAGGGATAGAGAGTATTGAGTGTTGAGTATTAGAAAGACGAGAAGGAAGATAACATTCTCAAAGGTAGTTAGAGTAGGAGGAGAAATGCTCGGGGCTGTTTTAACCCCTTCGTGTCTTGGGTTTACTTCAGTTTGCTTGCGAATCTAACCGAAGACTGAACTGCTACTACTCTTCCTTGGCATCAGCAACCTAGCTAGATAGCTAGCTAGCTAGCTAGGCTTGGCATAATCATCGTTCTCTTCTGTTATCCTGGTAGACCCTCGTCTTTTGGTTTATACTCGAGAATCCTTCTCCGAGGATCTGAGAAAGGAAGACCAACCGAGACTTCTCTCTCTATCTCTCTTTCTCTTTCTCTTTTCAACCCCCCATGCACCCCCCCGAACAGTTTGACTTTAGTTACTCTGGTCCAAAACCAAACCAGTTAGCTTCCGACTTTAAACATTGTTTTCGGTTTACTTGACGAAACGTTTAAGTTTCGATGAAGATTGTTTATTTCGGATGAGAATTTTCGGTTAAATTGTTGATTTTCTCGAAGAGGAAATTTATCAGGAAATACCGATTGTTTTTGTCTTGTTGTTGTTGTTGTTGTGTTTATTCGTTTGAATTTACTTTTCTTTTTTTTTACTATGTAATTCTCATCGTTTCTGATTAGTTTAATGAACTTTTTCTGTTAGTGGGTTTTTATTTTTACACCGACGATTTTTACCATCTCATATGGTGTCAATGGGGAATAATCGTATTTTATTTTTTTCGAAAGGTATCATACTCTTAAAAAAATATAAAATTTAAATCATCTTGTTATTCTATTTCCCAAATATATATGTTATATAATTTATATT